TAATTATTTAAATATTCAAATCATATGAATGATTATTAGTATTATTAGTATAAAATTATTGTATTATTGTTTCATAAGATTTATTATTTATTTAATAATTTCTAAATTAAAAGATATATTATTATACATATATTTGTTATAATTAATTTTGTTTTGTTAATTTTTATTAATGTAAAACCTATATAATTAAAAATTTGAATAATAATTGATGACATCATTGAAACTATTAAAACAAATACTACTATAACTACTTTATACTATATAAATGACTTTAAAAAATTTGTTTCAGTTTTATTTTCATTGTAAATCATTTTCATCAGTTAAATATTATATTATTTTATTAGTAATTTTCTTGAAAATATTAATTTATTTATAAAACAAAACACAACAAAAACTTTTATTCAAAAAAATGTTTTTATTAACTATTTTTCCATTAAAGTCTAAATAAATTAAAATTATATTTTTATATAGAAATAAATGTTTAATAACTAATAATGTGTTTTAATAACTGAACTATAAATATGTTTTATATGTTATATTTGTAAATATTGATATAATTTTGTTGTTTTTGTAATATATCTATTTTTTGTTGTAAAAATCAAAATCTAGATATATATATATATATATTTGATTTTTACATATTTTTTGATAGTGTAGTCTCAGTCACACACTTGGAGACTGTCCTCTATTGACAGCGTTGTCCGGATGTTCAGCCAGAGAGGAGGGAACGGTAGTTGACTTGGGATTAACTATTATTTTGTTGTCGACATTATTCTTTGACACAAAGACTGATCGATCAGTACGTGTCTGTCCATCGTCTGAGGCGATGGTAAACACCGATTCTATACGAGTTTCGTCATTAAATTTAGGCTCAATTTTTGCCGACTTTTTCTTAACAATGAATATAAAAAAAATTTATGAGTATTTATGACTAAATAAAAATAAATTAATTAATTAAAAAACTTATAATTATATACTTGAGTTTTGGTAGTTGTTAACGATTTTTGATAACATATGTAATAAATTAGCAAACAATTGGCTAAAATAACGGCCAATATTACGACAATCGCTATCATTATGTAAATCCAATATTTATCAGCTGATTGATCATCGGTAGGACTGGGAGGTGAAGGAAACAGTATTATTGACGGTGTTATACCTTTTGGCCAAATATTCGGACAGTTAGTGGCATACGGTTTCAGTGTTAATATTGGGGATAACTTTTTGTTCAATGGTGTCGAAAAATAGTAGGGTTTTCCGTCGATTGTTAAGAATACTATATGTCCCGATCTATTGTCGCCGATTCCATAATCGACAATACCGTCGACCAGTGGCCAGAGATCGGTGGATAAATCGTCGATAAACTTTGGATACCAACACAATGTCTGTTTACATTTAGTTGAATTATATGTTTCTAATATTTTATCAAAAAATATGAATTTTATATCATTTTTACGATGTCTGTCCACTACTATTACAAATGTTGACCATCCGGTGGCAACGGGACTGAATAGTACAGAATCTGTGATATCGTATTGAAAATTGGACTCATATTTCAATGGATTAGCTGATCCATTGTTTTGCAGACATTTAACCAAATTTGTCGTTGGAGTGGAAGTGTCCTAATATATAGAATAAACTGTTATTTTTATTTTGTTTTGTTTAAATACCAAACTCTTATGTGTATTACATAAGAGTATATATATATATATACTTACATTAAGATAGACATCACAGAAAAAGCATATATAGCTTACAATTAAGTCAGCTTTTAAAGCAAATTTAGCCGAACTATCGGTACTGATGTTTGTGACGACACTGTTGTCTGCTATTGTCACCAGTGGTTCATTGCTATCACTATCTGCTTGATTGGTGGGAAACGACACCTCAAACTGAAATTGTTGTCCATTTCTGTACATTACGTATACATCGGTAAAGTTTGTATCCTTTATGTAATATAAATCCCATTTGTGATCGACTCGTATGCCATCCGATCGTCCATTTGGTGCCAATATATTGCATACAGACTGTTGTTGTTGTTGTAGCTGACTGTGCGACCAATGGATGGACACAATTATGGCAAACAACGACAACACTGGATAATACATTCAAAATGAAAATTATTATTATTCAATATTATAGACACAAAAAAAACTCTCAAAAAATCTAATCACAAACAAACAAAACAAACAAATGGGTAAAAAACAAATGCAAATTCAGTTAATAAATTTGAGAATAATTTTTTAGTTAAACTATTTAATTATTTTTTTTGAACATATTTTTAAAAAATAATTAACTCACGCTAAAACAATAAATATTGTATTTTATTGTATCAATAATTAATATAAAAATTTATTTGTTTCATATTTATTATTATATTACAGTATTATAATTATTATTAGTGTCTTGATTTTAAAAATATTTATTATAAATTTACATTGTTTTGCATGCGATAATTGATATTATTATACTAATTAAACTAAATACAAAATAATATTTAAAAAGTAAAACAGTTATAAAAAGTATTAGTAATCAATTTGTATTAATAGTTTGAAAGATGTCATCAATTTTTATTCATATACGACAACAACACCAACAACTACTGGCCATCAATTGGTTTGCCATTAATAAGTGGTGGTCTAATCATCGGATGATAAAACATAAGCCCAGTAGTCGACAATCGTCATCATCTCTATCTACTACCAGTGCTGACTTCAAATCAATCAACAGTAGTTATAGTAGTCAACTGATGATGAGATGCGCTTATATGATACCATCGGATAGGATATCGGATATCTTACGTAATAATCAAATAAATGTCGTCAAATTAGTAAACCCGGGTTATATTGGTGGCGATAGCGGTAGCGGAAGCGGGTGTTTGATTAACAAAAATTACGGTCTATTGGTTACCAATGTTCATATAGCTAACGATATTCGACAATTGAATTGCTATTATATGATAAAAACTAGTGATAATAAAATCATTAGTCGTTATCGTAAAGGACGGGTACTATACTGTGAACCGTATCGTGATTTAGCACTCGTTAGTCTAGAGTTTACTGGCAGTGATGACAAAAACAACGAACTGACCGATCAGTTTGTATTGACCGACAAGAAAACGGCCGATTTTGGTGAACAAGTTTTCTGTATCGGATATCCCAAACCATACCGTTTACAGAGTATGACTTTTGGCTTTGTTTGTTGCGGTCGACAGCCGTTTAATGAGGAAATGTTTGCGTTTAATGTCAGCTCATTTATACACCATTCCAGTGGTGTAACTAAAGGCTATTCTGGTGGACCAGTGATCGATGAAATGGGACGGTTAGCTGGCATTCATTTTGCAAGCATTCCTAGTGATAACATATCATGCGCTGCACTGACTATTGATTTTTTAGGTTTGTATGTTAGCTATAATATTGTTATAAAAACAAACAAATTAACAAAATTATTATTATTATTAAAAATGTTTTATTTTTTTGATGACTAGACTTCTTCAAGAATGCAAACAAGTTTAACAAACAAAATGTAATATAAATATATAATTAATATATTTATTATTAAAATAATTTTTATTTTTTATATGTATTTAATGTAAATACAGTATATATATCGAAATACTAGGAAACGGTTTGTCGAAACTGAATGCCGATTGACTAACAAAGTAGTATTGGGTGTTGAGATCTATTGGTATTGTAATGACTACTGTAGTAAACGATATAAACTAATGGCCGATAAAGAGGACCGAAAGTTCCCTAATATAAAGAAAAATAAATTATTAGACAGTTGTATAATAGTGTGGAATGTCATCAAACCAATGGACAGTACTGTGAATGAGTTGTTAGTATTGAAAGATTATTATTATTATAATTATTATTATTTATAAAATATTTAAAATACATAACTATTATACATAACAAATAATAATTTGTTTTTATCTGATTTTTCTCAATTTTATACTAATAGTCAAAAACTTAAGGAATTTGATATAATTATTAGAATTAATGACTATTTTGTCGAATCTATCGACGATTTATACAAAACAATTCAATCAAATGGTATGAATCCGATTGAATTGAATGTCTTAAGGAGTAATAAAATGATTGACATCACTGTAACTCCACAACAATTGACACAATCAATAGGATTTGCTTAAAGGGTTTACAAATCAATTCAATTATACAACAAATCCATTGATATATTATATAACTATTCAAAAAAAAAGTTTAAATTATTTATAAAAGCTTTTTATTTGTGGTTTAATTCAATTTTAATTCAATATTTATATAATTAATATTATTTATTAGTAAAATTAAAAATCAAAATTATTATTTTGATTTTTTTATACAGCATTTATATTTGATAAAATAAAAACAATTTTGTTTATTAATCAATTTAATGCTTAATATGAAGAAATAAAAATACAATAACAACAAAAACTATTATTAAAATATTGTTTTCTTTTATAACTAAATAAAAAAAATTAATTTATTATTTTAAAAATTAATTACTTGTTTATTATATTACTTTTGGTAGATATACCGGTATATGACATACAAATGTATTTACAATATAACTAAACCACAGATATTACTATTAACGACAACAATAACTATTCAATAAAAAAAGTCTAAATTATTTATTAAGTTTTTTGTTTAATTCAATTTCAATGATATAACAAAATCAAAACATAAATAACAAATATATTTTACTTAAATTTTAATTGACTTTAATATTGTAAAAATAAACACAAAAAACAAATACACTAAAAGATAATACATTTGTTTGTTTTTCTGATTAATTTAAATAAATTTATTTAACATTATTTTTACTAAAAACTATATTAATTTGGAAACTAATATTATATAATTGATATATAATAATAACTTTGATTTTTTTGTAATTTATTAGCAAAATATTTTAGTATAAATTTTAATTGTTTTGCATGCGATACTTGATATTATGTTTCTAATTAAAATAAATACAAAATAATATTTAAAAGTAAAACAGTTATATGAAGTATTGGTAATCAATTTGTTTTAATAGTTTCAATGATATCATCAATTTTTATTCATATACGACAACAACACCATCAGCTACTGGCCATCAATTGGTTTGCCATTAATAAGTGGTGGTCTAATCATCCGATAATAAATGATAGGCCCAGTGGTCGACAATCGTCATCATCTCTAACTACTACCAGTGCTGACTTCAAATCAATCAACAGTAGTTATAGTAGTCAACTGATGATGAGATGCGCTTATATGATACCATCGGATAGTATACCGGATATCTTACGTAATAATCAAACAAATGTCGTCAGATTATTAAACTGGGGTTATATTGGTGGCGGTGGTAGTATCGGAACCGGGTGTGTGATTAACAAAAAATCCGGTCTATTGGTTACCAATACTCATGTAGTTAACGATAAAAGACAATTGGATTGCCATTATTCGATAAAAACTAGTGATAATCAAATCATTAGTCGTTATCGTAAAGGACGGGTACTATACTGTGAACCGTATCGTGATTTAGCACTCGTTAGACTAGAGTTTACTGGCAGTGATGACAAAAACAACGAACTGACCAATGTGTTTGTATTGGCCGACCAGAAACCGGCCGATTTTGGCGAACGTCTTATCTGTATTGGATATCCCGAATCCATTAAACAGAGTATGACTTTAGGCTATGTTTGTTGCGGTCAGAGTCCGTCCGACCAATTCTTTACCTGTGGTGTCAACTCTTTTCTATACCATTCCAGTGGTACAACCAGAGGCTATTCTGGTGGACCATTGATCGATGAAAAGGGACGGTTAGCCGGTATTCATCACGCAAGCATTGCTCGACATATACATAGGATATCATGCGCTCAACTATCTATTGATGTTAAAGGTTTATATGTTTGTTATAATTACATATACTGTATATATATATAAACAAATTAATTAACAAAAATCAAAAAACAAAATTATGATAATTATTAAAATGTTTTATTTTTTTAATGTCTAGACTTCTACAATAATGCTAAAGAATTTAACAAACAAAAGGTATTAATATATATATAATTCATATATTTATTATTAAAATAATATAATTTTTTATATGTATTTAATGTAAATACAGAATAAATATCGAAATAATAGGAAACAGTTTGTCGAAACTGAATGCCAATTGACTAACAAACTAGTATTGGGTGTTGAGATCTATTGGTATTGTAATGACTACTGTAGTAAACAATATAAACTAATGGCCGATAAAGAGGACCGAAAGTTCCCTAATATAAAGGAAAATGAATTATTATTAGACTGTTGTATAATAGTGTGGAATGTCATTAAACCAATGGACAGTATTGTGAATGAGTTGTTAGTATTGAAAGATTATTATTATTATAATTATTATTATTTATAAAATATTTAAAATACATAATTATTATACATAACAAATAATAATTTGTTTTTATCCGATTTTTCTCAATTTTATACTAATAGTCAAAAACTTAAGGAATTTGATATAATTATTAGAATTAATGACTATTTTGTCGAATCTATCGACGATTTATACAAAACAATTCAATCAAATGGTATGAATCCGATTGAATTGAATGTCTTAAGGAGTGATAAAATGATTGACATCACTGTAACTCCACAACAATTGACACAATCAATAGGATTTGCTTAAAGGGTTTGCAAATCAATTCAATTATACAACAAATCCATTGATATATTATATAACTATTCAAAAAAAAACATTTGTAAAAGTTTTTTATATTTTAATTTAATTTCAATTCAATATTTATATAATTAATATCATTGATTAGTAAGATTAAAATCATTATTTTGTTTTAATACAGCAATTAATTTTGTTTAATAACTAATTAAAATTGATAATATTGAGAAATAAATAATACAATAACAACAAAAATAAACTATTTATAAAATATTATCGTAGAGTTTTTTGTTTTAATTTCATAACTAATTAATTATTATTTTTATTTTAATTACAATTTTTTATGTATTACTACTCCTAATGTTATCATTTATAACCGATTTTCTCGATATATCGATCGTAGACTTATTGGTTTGATTAGTTGACATCGATTTTTTAGTATTGATTGTTTCGGTAGATATCGATCCGACCCGAACCGCCCAATCGGTGTCCATTTGGCCGACTTTACTACGAATTTCTGCCGGCAGTCTTTCAGATTTCTGATTTCGGGTGAAAAAAAACAAATTAAAATAAACAGTTTTTTAAATCTAAATTTAAGTTTAAAAAAAATAATTACATTTAAATTGGTTTCATTGTATTTGGTTTTAAGCTTATTATTTCGGTGTAAGCATATAATAACTATCGCAACAATAATACCGATGGTTAATATGAGACACCCGACAACAATGGCCACCAATATGTTAAACCATATATCATTTGGTTGTTCAACAGTTACAATATTATCTGTTTGATTGTTTGACAATGTTGTAGACGACTGTCCTATAGTACTACTACTACTACTGATAGGCATCAATGTTGTTGTAGTTGTTGCTGATGATGATGTCATCGGTATTGTTGTTGAAGTCATTTTTGTTGTTGTCGTAGTTGTTTGTATGGTATTATCAGTAGTAGTATTAGTATTATTACTATTATTATCGGACCAAATACTGTCACATTCAATGCCATACTTAAGAAAATTGATTTCATTTTTACACTAAAACAGTAGATAATATTGATTAGTATTATCGATAGTATTATTATTATCTGTAAACTATTTAACAAATAATTTAATAGACACTACATATATCGTATACTATATATAACAACATACCTGTTCGGACAAGCGCTGACCTAATGGTGTCCAACAATAATAGGGTTTAGAGTTTAGTTTGAAAAACAATATCCAACCCTTGCGATTGTTACCGTAATTATAGTCAACAATACCATCGATGGCCGACCATAGCTTCGAGTCGATATCAAAGACAAATATCGGTATCTGACAGTCCAATTGATCGCAGTCTTTGTGATCAAAAATCACATCCGACTGGACGTAATAGTATTTGATGTTTACCGACGATGTATTTACCGTCGGATATACTGTTGGACTGACCAGATAGACATAGGTTGATCGGACGGCCGGTAAGGGACTGAACATTAGGTCATTCGGATCGTAGTCTTTATTATAGACTTTCGTTTTATTGTTGGCATCCATACAGACTGTTTTGATTGACTTGTTTTGGTTGTCCTAAAAAAATTGTTGAGAGAGAGAGAGAGTGAGTGAGTGAGTGAGTGAGTGAGTGAGTGAGTGAGAGAGAGAGAGAGAGAGAGAGAGAGAGTAAACTTTATATATTAGGAATCAGTTGTGTTTTACACTTACTTTATATTCATTGAAACAATTATACGAATTATACGTTTGATTTATGATATCTTTAGGACTAAACCATTTGATTGTCGATATCGGATATCTATCAGTCTTATTCATTATCAATCGGATGACTGGTTCATCATTATTGTCCTCAAAAGTTACGTTAAACCAGAATAGCCGACCGTTTGTATACATAATATAGACATCGTTGTAGTGGTTGGCATAGATTTTGTCCAGTGACCACTGATGATGGACACCGATACCAGTGAACTGGCCATTGGGTGCCAGTATATCGCACGGGTTGTCTAGTAGTAGACAGTGATAGAAATACCAGTGTATCGATAAATAAAGGACAGTAGTATATAATAAGTTCATATTATTTGAGATATTATTTATTAATTAAATTCAATAATAAGCTATAATAAGCTATCAGTAAATAAATATAAAAATTAATTGAAATTCAAATAATAATAATATTTGAAATATTTTTATTATCGCGAGATATATACAGTATTATTGAGTAGATATTAACTAAAACTCATTAATAAAAAAAAACATTTATACTGTAGTTATACTATAAATTTTATTGGATGGAAAAAATTAATTAATTAGAATTAAATACTATAAATTAGTTTAAATTTATTATAACTAATTTTACTATTAGTAATACTACTACTACTAATAATTACTTATTTTATTATTGTAAGATAAAGTTTTTATTTATTAAAAATTGTGTACAATTTAGTTTAATCAAAAGTGATATAATAATAATAATTAATTAATTAATTAACATTAATAAAACAATAATATTAATAATAATGAAGGGGTCGAAAATTAACATTTGATTAATAAAAAGTTTTTTTTGTATTTTATAAATTTAAACTTTTAAGTAATTTTTGATAAATTAATAGTTGTTTTTGTATTAATTAGATTAATATTATCGGTAAAAAAAAGTTTCAAAGGTTTAATATAGAGATAATAATAATTGCAATCAATATATAGATGACAATCCAATTAGTTTTTATTGTCCATATGTTTTGGACAATTGGTTACATATGGTGTCAGACTATCTATGGATTTACACTTTAAAAAAAAATAATTTAAAACAAATATAAAATAATAATTAAATTATCTCATATAAACTGCTATAATATAATACAAAGCATTAAAACAATTTAAATAAGTATTATTTTTGTAAAATTAAGTGCAATTAAACTAATAAAAATCAAATTGAAACAATAAAAATAATTTTTTTTAAAAATACTTTTTAATGATATTAATTAATTAATTTATAAACAAAAACAAATATTTTATTAAATATAGTTAATATAATACATATATATATATATATATATATTAGTATTAAATAAAATTTATAGAAATAAAACAAATCAAATTAATAATTATTTACACAAACAAAACAAAAATAAATTGACGTAAAAAATATATAAACTAGAATTTAGTTATTATAAAAAAAAATATTAAAAATACAAATAGATAGAAAATAATAGTTTGTTTTAAAAAAAACTAATTTCAACTAAAACACAAGTTATAGTATACTATACAATGTATACTATACATCACATTTTATACAACTATATACATAGCCATTATTGTGTAACTTTATATCTTTGACGGTATATTTGATAACACTATTTGTAGTAACATTTGTAACATTACTACTGTCCAGTAATGTCACTACCGGTTCATTACTACTGTTTGTTGGAAACGATACCTGAAATTCAAATTGTTTGCCATTTTTATACATCAGATATAAATCCTGGTAATCATTATTGTCATCATTATTGGTAATGTCTTCTCTGTAATCCACATACGGTATACTCGGATGCCATCAAACTGTCCATTTGGTGCCAATATATTGCATATCGTGTTGGGATTATAATGCGACCAATAGATGAACACAATTATGGCAAACAATTGTAACGGTAGAGACATATTAGTAGTCTTTAGCTATATTTTGTAAATAATTATTAATCCAATAGTTTTTTTTTGTTATGTTTGAGACTTTTAATAACTTTTGATAAAAATCGTTACAAAATTGTTATAACAAATAGAAAAAACTAAAAAAATTAATTAGTTATTTTGAATCTAGAATTTCAATTCATAACAATGTTTACGATTATTATTATTATTATTATTATTAAATTATTATCATTTCATATGATTAGTACAAATTCATAATTATTTTTGTATAATATTTATAAATTCAATTAATATCTAAAATTAAATATTTGATTAATTAAAATTTATAATTCAAATATTTATATTATTAGAATATACTGTACAAAAAGTTAATAATCTTGATTATAATTTTTATTTGCTTAATATATAATTAATATGTTAAGATGATATAAATTATTATTATTATGCTAACAAAATATATAATAATTAAAATAATTAATAAAAATATAAATACTAGTATTATTTAAATAAAATGTATTATTTACTTATCTAATTATTAATTTGTTTAATATACTTTCTTTAATAAAATTTAACAAACATATGAAGTTTAAAAAAATTTATAATATATATAAATCAGATTTTAAATTTAATAAATTAATAAATATATTAATAATATTCATATACTCTATATAAGGACACAGTTATGTTGTCTCCACAAAACAAAAGTTGATGGGATGTCATATTATTATTATTATTAAACATAACCTATTGATTCAGTTAATTGTTGTGGAGTTGCAGTGATGTCAGCATAATTGAAATCCCTGAAGACATTCAATTGAATCGGATTCAAACCGTTTGATTCAATTGATTTGCATAAATCATTCATTGATTCAATTGGATTGCCATTAATACTACAAATTATATCTAATCGCTTAAGTTTTTCACTAAAAAAAATATATTAATAATAAAAAAAATTTTTTTAAATATAACACATAAACAACTATAAAAAACATTTGAAAATAACAAAAATTCTAATAATTATATTAATAATCAAAAATTTTAATAATCAAAAGTTAAAACTAACTATTCATTGATAATACTATCCATTGGTTTGATGACATTGCAGACAAGTATACACTTATATAATGGTATAAATTGCAAATCAAACTTAAATTTTTGGTTTTCAATTGCAAGCAAATTATCAAAATCTTTGGTGTGACGGCTACTAAACCAGCAGATCTCTACCCCCAACACTAATTTAGCGGTCAATTGACAGTTAATTTTGATCCTATGTTTTATATGGATATTATTTCGATAATCTCTCTGTATATATATATATATTAATATATTTAAAAAAAATAATAATAATTTACAATAATTTTATATTAATTATTATTATTATTAT